TCTGTAGAGAAATTTTTGGATTCTTCATTTTCAGAGTCACTATTTTCCAGTTCTACATGAATTTCTTGTTCTGCCAGTTCTTGAAGGTCGTTGTTAATAAGACACTCATCAGAAACCTGCGGTAACTCCTCAATATCCTGTTCATCTCCATCTCCTAGTCCTGCTGTATCAATTAGGTTGTTTGATCAACCTAATGACACAGCGATGGGCTCTTCTCGTTGAGAATTCTTGGATACATTCAGCCATAAGTTCTTCCATACTTTTTTCGTGCATTTATCAGTTAATTCTTGCCAAGTGAAGCTGATATTCCTGTAGAATCATGATGTTATATTTTTTCCAAAATTGCACCAAACAAACATAGATTTAAAGAAAGTACATCTTTTTTCCACCTTTTTCTGATTGGTTCGTGTTTGTAAATAATCGTATTATATACGAATCAATAAAATGCCACAATAATTTAAATTTTGAGCAGTTTTTTTAGGCATCGAGCAGACGGCATTATATCGAATCAGCGTTAAGTGAGGCAGGGTTAAGCAGGGTCTTACTGTACCTAAAGTTGCTTTGTGTGTCTTAACTGCCATCAGTAATTCCTGACATTGGCCTTGAAATGGATCCAATGTTGAACTATCTGACAACATAAAAAATTGTATCACTGGTTGCTGAAGAATGGATATTCTCAACATTGTGTTGCTTATTCAATGGGTGTGTTCAAGTCCATTGTAAGATATGGAAGTATACAACAAGCAATTATTTATTGTGACATTGTCGCAATGCCAGGTTGCAATTTTTCATCACATCACTCTTGATTTTAATAGTGTCTTTCCCCTGTACATCATACTTTTCCTTTTAACAATAGTGTTATGTCAGTCATCTAACTTTGTTCTGGAAAAAATTTTTGAACTGAAATAATATGACTTTTGGTTTGGATTATAAGTTTGTATATAGTTAACCAGGGCCTCTTGCCCCTAAGCTTTTCATATCTGGTCTCAACTTTCATCTATCTAACTCCATTCTCAAGATTAAGGAAGGACAGACAGATGGCAGTGAGAATTTACTTATGGGTCTGCAATTTTTGAAAATTTCAGTCCAAAACTGTAGAAATCAATCCAGAAGTGGGAATCCATGGCTAACCGCTGTATGCCAAGACAAGACACTGTGCTAAATTTGTAATATGCTGTAAGCAACCTCAAAGCATCTGAATACTACTTGGTCCAAGATTAGCAGAACACAAGTCTCTGACAGAACAGTAAGATTTTATATCCATTCCATGCGTAGTTCCCATAAGAAAATTTAGACAAAGCCAAGGTTAACCAAAATTTAACGATGGAAATAACTGTTGTAGTCCAAAAAATGAAAAAATTGGACTGTAGAAGAATGGAATCCTGTCATTTTCAGCAATAAGTCAAAATTCAACTATAAATATAAATATCCAAATCCAATAATTATATATTATTGGGTTTATATGTTAAACGGGCAATAGACATCATCTCTTGATAAATTTAATAATTATAATTAAATTAATATTTTGATAATTAATTTAGAAGGTTCTGCAAAAAATTACTAGTCTCTAGTGCCAAATTACTAAGCATTTAATAATAGTAGTAGTAATAAAGCTAGATATAATCCATGAATTGTTTGACTTTAATGAAAGATCAACATCAACTATGGAGATGATGGCTGTTCATTCATTTGGCAAAGGAAAGACAAGAACTGTCAATCAAATTTCCTCAGTCCCTCATGATACAGTCGTGTATCTCAGCATGAGGATCTGGAAAATTCTGTTATTACCCTCACTTTGAATGCAGAAGTCAATATGGAAATGTTGGGAGGGATTCCTTATCCCTATATATGAGGACCAAATGGAAATTTAAATGGAATATTATCTTCCAAAATGACAAAAGATACGTATACAAAATTGTAATAATGACACGATAGAATTGTTAATGCTGAAAATGCAAGTCGTGATTCCAAACTTTTACCAGGTGTAAAAGTTTGGAATCACCACTTTTTATCTTGTCGTATCATGCCATTGAGTGACATTGCAGAATTCTTCATTCAAAGAAATTTGAAAGGATGGACTGGCCTTTGAACAATCCAGATTCAAATCCAATTGAAAACATGTGGTGTTTATTGAAGCATTTTGTGAATTTTTAGCATTCATCAAATAAGAAAGGGCTAAAGAATGCTATTATTCATACCTGGAGTAATATCAGTGCTGAAATCTATAAAAGACTTGTGGAATCAATGCCTAAGAGTTACAACTGTAATTAAAGCCAAAGGAGGCCAAAAATTATTAAATACCAATATTATGTTTGTGGTTCCATACTTCCTACAGCTTGTATGATTCCAAACCTTTTTCCAAGATGAGTTTGTTATGTTTGTCTAAATAAATTTTTCTTTTGCATTTAATCATTATTTTGTTGTTTATTTGTTTAGGATTTGCATATTGGAACTTAGTTTTGTTATCAGTTGGTTTCTATAATAAAACATATACAAAATTGTAATAATGACACGATAGAATTGTTAATGCTGAAAATGCAAGTCGTGATTCCAAACTTTTACCAGGTGTAAAAGTTTGGAATCACCACTTTTTATCTTTTTATCAACACAAAATCTTTTTAAGTTTAGTTTTTAGTACAGTAATATCTCGACTTACGCTACCCCGACTTACGCAAACCTGGAGTTACGCGATTTTCAAATCTCATCGAGTCGTCTTTTGTTTGAGCGCCACGCAACTCTTAATTACTCACTCCCCCCACACTATTGTTCAGATTACATGTTCGGACATGTCGCCCGGAATCAACACATAGCTACAATTTATTTTGTGTTATTTATTTCTATGTTTGTTATATCTACGGAGACTTGAGAGACTCTACTATGTCATCTAAATGAAGTAGAACTGATTATTCTGCATCAAACAAGAAAAGAAAAACTTTATCTTTGGAATGTAAAGTTAACATTATTAAAGACTTTGATACAAAAATGAAAATTTGTGAATTGGCAAAAAAGTTTGATCTACCGGAATAGACGGTCAGAACAATTATAAAAGGTAAAGAAAAAGTTCTCAAAGCTGTAAAAATGCTCAATCTTTAAATTCAAGCATCATTTGTAAACGTCACAGTATTATCCCTGAGATGGAAACAATGTTAAAATTATGGTTTGATAATCAAGTAAATGTGAAAAATTGTATAATAATATAATTTGTTATACATATGTATTATCTAAGATTTTATTAAAAAAATTTTTCTAAATTATTGTTTTCTTTAGTCTCCGGCCCCAATTAAAAATTATTTGTATGTATTTATATGGGAAATTATACCCCGACTTACGTGAATTCGACTTACGCGGTTATCGCTCAGTCCCACCTATCGCGTAAGTTCGGGATATTACTGTATTTTGAAACAAAGAATCAAGAATTATATGCTGCTATAATATGTTAGATATGATATTAATAGACAATTCTTGAATCTTTGTTACAAACATATGATATTAACATCTTTTATGGAAATTATGAATTACACAATTAATGATTTTTATCATTTCAAATCAATTAATTTCATTTGCATGTGAATAACTGAATTTATCCATATACTGTTATATTGCATAGTACCTGTATATATGAAAACCACACATTAGAAAGATTTCCATTCTGTCACGTAATTTTTACAACTGAACTTTAAACATCTACATACAATACTATTCAATTTTTCAAAAAATTCATTTGAACAAATACCAAACTGAATGAGAAGAAATGATACACTATCACTTGTTCTCATCCAGTTGTACAGTGACTAGTTCTGAAGATAAGAACTAGTCACTTTAGTTACTCAGCTGAATTAGTCAATGCAGCTTTAACAGTAGATGACATTTAAAGAATGATAATATTTTTGACCTGGTTAACAAACCATCTTCAGGTGTGACAGTTAAAAGTAGTATATGTCACTTTTAACTATTCATGTGCAAAGATAGCTTATTAATTGGGTCAAAAATGTTAGCATTCTTTACTTCACCCATTGTTAAAGGTGCATCAATTAATTTAGATGATATGCTGTTACACCTTCAACTTCCAGCAAAATAACTTTTAATGATTACCAACATTTTATACATTACATAACCATTAATATTTGTAACATTCAAATTTACAATTTATTTCTATTTTTGTTTGATGTAACCTGAGGAAGACCAATTAATCATTAAAAAAAATTACTGAAAATCATTTAATTTTAACTTTTTAATATACCATAAGATTATTTTTCAAAGGAAGGAAATATCATATTATCCATCAAATTTACAAATATGCACAAACAGTAAATTTTGATGCCAATTTAATCATGCGATGCACAATTTAACACACACACATACTGTAACATAACAAAATTATTACTCAGATTAATGTAATTATTTTAATAACATGAAAAATTCGTAAATTTCTGATATAATAGAAATGTTTTGATATTAAACTATATGTTATTATTTGTTACGTATTGCATCCTTTTAATAAAATTGATTTGTAATTCAAACAGAAGCAAATTTTTCTAAATGAAAGAAGATAAGACTCATTTGGTTTTAAAATCAATAAATGTTTTATTTTAAAATCTTTTAATTTTAAATGTTCCAAGTGAAATAATCATTATTTTGTATGCAAATTTTACTGTTTTAATATAAATTCTGTTTTAAAAAGACACAAATATCTTTAATGAAGAGAAATTTAATATGGTAGCAATTTATAAAAAATATGTATCAGAAGAATTATGAAATGTATAAATATGCTCAATAATTTGAAATTATGTTTATTTATTTTGCAGGATACATCATTCATAGTGATAAGTAAACATAATTATAACAAGTACGTGATGTATGTTTATATTTACGCAGAAAGAAAAAGAATATTTTTGGATACGAATGCAAATATTTCATTGAGTTAATTAATAAATCTGTCCTGATAAATGAATACAGTAACTGAAAAATGGTAAAATTCATATTAAAACGTCACCACTTACCCATGTCGAATTAATGAATTTTTACGGAAGATCTCTTTTATTATTTTAAGTGATTTGTATTTTATATCGCTGGAAAATATTTTTTTGATCGAAATTACAATAAATCGAAGCTTTTGTCATTTATTTTCTTTACGTTGTTTACTTCATTTCCGAAAAGAAACATCCTCAATGCTTCTATCAAAACAGTCGAGCCGACTGATCTAAGTAGAGGACAGCACTAAAATTTTTTTAAATGATGCAGTATCCTGTACACAAGATTTTGGATGGGATATGTAGCTTAGTATAAGAAAGATGAAATGAGAATTTGAAAGATAAACAGTTATCAGACAGGATTTTCAAACACTAAAGAGAGAAACATTATAAAACTGCTGAAATGATTNCATAATTATGTAATTATTTAACACTGTTTCTAACAGCATGAATTTTTTAGTTATCTGATAGTTACATTAGCTTTGAGTAAATGGCTATTATTAAGCTGTCTTTTCAAGCTATCAGCTATACTTTATGATAACTGTGTATATAAGCTTAAAATCTATAATTACCAATACATAACCAGTAACTAATGCTTTAAACATTAAACTTTAATCATTTTAATTATTATTTGATCAAAATATAGTAGTTTAACATGGTAACTATAACTGAAGTACAAAATGCCAGCAATTTAAACTACTACATAAAACATCAGTTAAACTGCACGGTACTGCAAAAAACAGCAGACAAACAACACTGGATGAATTAATACTAATTAATAAATCTTTAAACTTGTACATTTTTTAACTGTTAACATGTTCTTTTAATGTAGGTGTTAATAAAACTAATTTCAGTTAATTGTCTTATTTACTTAATCAAATAAATAAATAATGAAACATGTTAAATAATGAAATTATATATATTTAAATAAAATATAAAGAATACATTAATTTAAAATAAATTAAGTTCATAAATATATAATCATCATAACTGATAGTTTGAGTAAAATTTATAGTCTCTAATTTTTAGAGCAATATTTTATAGTTATAAATTTTATGATGTTAAATATTAAAAAATTTAATAGTTATTTTTGTAGTCATTAATGTGTGGCAGTTATGATTATCTTAATTTATGCAAAATGTTTAAATCTATGCATAATTTTATTGTGCAAAATTCTTTATAAAATGCATTAAGCATAATTAATAAAATCTTATTAAAAATTTAAATTTTGGAAGTAGTATCTACTATTTTAGTCTGTATACTAGATCAATTTTTGGTTCTCCTGAAAGGTCATTTACAGTAGATTATGCTTATTGTAGTCACTTTGGACTGACTTACATTGATAACAATAAAATAACTGATATTAAGCAGGCATTTTGGTCCCATCATTCTCAACCAAAAACAGTGGGACCAAAAAGAAAATCATTAAATTTTTACAATGGTGCATCATCCTATGGACAAAAAGACAATTGCCTGGGACCCCAACAATCTATATAAATAAAAATGTAAATGTTTATTTGTTCAAAATCTTAAATCTCCAAAACTTCTTCACTGAGTGCTTTGAAATTTTAACATAACATTGCATTCGAATATGTGCGTTTTTATATTGAAATTCCATAGAGGGAGGGAGAGGGAGAAAATTAAGGTTTAACCCGTAGAACGGCTTCTACTGTACTATTTTAGATGCAATTTTTTGTTTCTAGTGATAATAACTTAATTTCCAAACGTACAATATTTACGTTTTACGATTTTTTAACCAAATGTTCAAATCGTTTTAAATTGGAATTTGTTATTGCACATTGGTTTGATTATAGAACGATTGTAAACGTTCCAGAAAATTGATCAGATTGAAAACATTCCTTTGAGGCAGTAAAATGATTCTCAGCAATAAGGGGTGTGTTATATAACATTGTTATAAATTAAATAATTACTATGGTTGTTGAAATATAAATGGTGTTGTATCTTGATCACATCCAAAACACCTTGTTTTTCTTTTGCACTTCTTTCAAAATCTGGGTCATTCGTTACAATTTGATTAACAATTTCAGTTATCATTACCAAACTTTTACCAAGGAAATCTGTAGAGAAATTTTTGGATTCTTCATTTTCAGAATCACTATTTTCCAGTTCTACATGAATTTCTTGTTCTGCCAGTTCTTGAAGGTCGTTGTTAATAAGACACTCATCAGAAACCTGCGGTAACTCCTCAATATCCTGTTCATCTCCATCTCCTAGTCCTGCTGTATCAATTAGGTTGTTTGATCAACCTAATGACACAGCGATGGGCTCTTCTCGTTGAGAATTCTTGGATACATTCAGCCATAAGTTCTTCCATACTTTTTTCGTGCATTTATCAGTTAATTCTTGCCAAGCGAAGCTGATATTCCTGTAGAATCATGATGTTATATTTTTTCCAAAATTGCACCAAACAAACATAGATTTAAAGAAAGTACACCTTTTTTCCACCTTTTTCTGATTGGTTCGTGTTTGTAAATAATCGTATTATATACGAATCAATAAAATGCCACAATAATTTAAATTTTGAGCAGTTTTTTTAGGCATCGAGCAGACGGCATTATATCGAATCAGCGTTAAGTGAGGCAGGGTTAAGCAGGGTCTTACTGTACCTAAAGTTGCTTTGTGTGTCTTAACTGCCATCAGTAATTCCTGACATTGGCCTTGAAATGGATCCAATGTTGAACTATCTGACAACATAAAAAATTGTATCACTGGTTGCTGAAGAATGGATATTCTCAACATTGTGTTGCTTATTCAATGGGTGTGTTCAAGTCCATTGTAAGATATGGAAGTATACAACAAGCAATTATTTATTGTGACATTGTCGCAATGCCAGGTTGCAATTTTTCATCACATCACTCTTGATTTTAATAGTGTCTTTCCCCTGTACATCATACTTTTCCTTTTAACAATAGTGTTATGTCAGTCATCTAACTTTGTTCTGGAAAAAATTTTTGAACTGAAATAATATGACTTTTGGTTTGGATTATAAGTTTGTATATAGTTAACCAGGGCCTCTTGCCCCTAAGCTTTTCATATCTGGTCTCAACTTTCATCTATCTAACTCCATTCTCAAGATTAAGGAAGGACAGACAGATGCCAGTGAGAATTTACTTATGGGTCTGCAATTTTTGAAAATTTCAGTCCAAAACTGTAGAAATCAATCCAGAAGTGAGAATCCATGGCTAACCGCTGTATGCCAAGACAAGACACTGTGCTGAATTTGTAATATGCTGTAAGCAACCTCAAAGCATCTGAATACTGCTTGGTCCAAGATTAGCAGAACACAAGTCTCTGACAGAACAGTAAGATTTTATATCCATTCCATGGGTAGTTCCCATAAGAAAATTTAGACAAAGCCAAGGTTAACCAAAATTTAACGATGGAAATAACTGTTGTAGTCCAAAAAATGAAAAAATTGGACTGTAGAAGAATGGAATCCTGTCATTTTCAGCAATAAGTCAAAATTCAACTATAAATATAAATATCCAAATCCAATAATTATATATTATTGGGTTTATATGTTAAACGGGCAATAGACATCATCTCTTGATAAATTTAATAATTATAATTAAATTAATATTTTGATAATTAATTTAGAAGGTTCTGCAAAAAATTACTAGTCTCTAGTGCCAAATTACTAAGCATTTAATAATAGTAGTAGTAATAAAGCTAGATATAATCCATGAATTGTTTGACTTTAATGAAAGATCAACATCAACTATGGAGATGATGGCTGTTCATTCATTTGGCAAAGGAAAGACAAGAACTGTCAATCAAATTTCCTCAGTCCCTCATGATACAGTCGTGTATCTCAGCATGAGGATCTGGAAAATTCTGTTATTACCCTCACTTTGAATGCAGAAGTCAATATGGAAATGTTGGGAGGGATTCCTTATCCCTATATATGAGGACCAAATGGAAATTTAAATGGAATATTATCTTCCAAAATGACAAAAGATACGTATACAAAATTGTAATAATGACACGATAGAATTGTTAATGCTGAAAATGCAAGTCGTGATTCCAAACTTTTACCAGGTGTAAAAGTTTGGAATCACCACTTTTTATCTTGTCGTATCATGCCATTGAGTGACATTGCAGAATTCTTCATTCAAAGAAATTTGAAAGGATGGACTGGCCTTTGAACAATCCAGATTCAAATCCAATTGAAAACATGTGGTGTTTATTGAAGCATTTTGTGAATTTTTAGCATTCATCAAATAAGAAAGGGCTAAAGAATGCTATTATTCATACCTGGAGTAATATCAGTGCTGAAATCTATAAAAGACTTGTGGAATCAATGCCTAAGAGTTACAACTGTAATTAAAGCCAAAGGAGGCCAAAAATTATTAAATACCAATATTATGTTTGTGGTTCCATACTTCCTACAGCTTGTATGATTCCAAACCTTTTTCCAAGATGAGTTTGTTATGTTTGTCTAAATAAATTTTTCTTTTGCATTTAATCATTATTTTGTTGTTTATTTGTTTAGGATTTGCATATTGGAACTTAGTTTTGTTATCAGTTGGTTTCTATAATAAAACATATACAAAATTGTAATAATGACACGATAGAATTGTTAATGCTGAAAATGCAAGTCGTGATTCCAAACTTTTACCAGGTGTAAAAGTTTGGAATCACCACTTTTTATCTTTTTATCAACACAAAATCTTTTTAAGTTTAGTTTTTAGTACAGTAATATCTCGACTTACGCTACCCCGACTTACGCAAACCTGGAGTTACGCGATTTTCAAATCTCATCGAGTCGTCTTTTGTTTGAGCGCCACGCAACTCTTAATTACTCACTCCCCCCACACTATTGTTCAGATTACATGTTCGGACATGTCGCCCGGAATCAACACATAGCTACAATTTATTTTGTGTTATTTATTTCTGTGTTTGTTATATCTACGGAGACTCGAGAGACTCTACTATGTCATCCAAACGAAGTAGAACTAATTCTTCTGCATCAAACAAGAAAAGAAAAACTTTATCTTTGGAATGTAAAGTTAACATTGGGTATGTTCGTAAAGTCGAACGAGTTAAACGAGAATGACGTCATCGTTATTCCTATTTCGTTAGACTTTTCGAACGATTCGTTACTAACGCGTTTAACTCGTTTGACTTTACGAACGTACCCATTATTAAAGACTTCGATACAAAAATGAAAATTTGTGAATTGGCAAAGAAGTTTGATCTACCGGAATAGACGGT